AAGGTTAGGGATCCTTTTCAGAACCCAGCTCTCCATCACCAACCAGAAAAAGCAAAACTCAGAGACACCACCTTTACTTCACTTTTGACTCATCTTCCCCTAAAAGTGCAGTTATGAAGTCTAGGGCCAAAGGATCGCTGAGCCACTGGCAACCAAAAGAATCCAAACTGAAAGTTGGCAGTCTCTTTTTCCAATCTTTCAAACCTCTCTGTCAGAGAAAACGCCAGATGCAATTACCTTTCACTAAAGAAAGGTGTATTTCAACAGGCTGGTGAATATGCGTTTACCACACACACAACACACAGTAAACCCTGTAGCCACTGGAACAAACACCCTGCTCTCCCCAGAAATCCACCCTCTCCCCGAACAGTACACAGTGATTGCTTTCCTTCCAGACTCTCCCTCACCACTGGGAGAAATGAAGCAAGCGGGGGCGCTCCTCCATCAAAACCCCCCAGAGGCTTCAACTCACTTTACAAATTTGAATCGGTACATTTCATGCAGACTTGGACTACTCCCCCAAAAAACAAACAGGCCACCATGGTGAGCAAAGTTACACAAAATTACATTGTATGTTTAATAACACAGCAAAGTCAATTTTCTACACCTATACCACTCATATATTTCCCTAATGACAGAAGCAAGACAGAAGGGATTAGAACCCAAGTGTCCTGGGAAGCCATCCTGACCACACTCACTCACGCGATAGCAAGTGATGTTTGGAGACCGGGAAAGGATTCTGCGGGGCACCTCCTTTCTTTTGGAGGGCAATAAAGATGGTGTCTGCAGAGGAAGTAGGAGCTGTGGGCTCTCACTCTTCCCCTAGCAGGCACACAGGGCAGGTGGGTCTCCAGATGCATTTTGCCACCAGGGTCCCACCCCCCTGTGCAAACCAAAGTTTGACAAGCGTTCATACTCATGAGCGTGCAAGCACCCACAGCTTTCTGAGGCCGAGCCTTGAGGATGTGGGGCCCTCCCCCTCACTGCCACCTCAACTCTGGCCTCGAGGAAGAAAGAATGCTCTTCAGGCCCCAAGAGCCTTTCAAGGGTCACAGCTACTGTCCAACATGCCGATGGATGAAGGCATAGCAATGACCTGGGGCCTGCCCGGTGGTCATCCCTCAGCATGGGCCATAGGCTAGACAACCGAGCACCAACTGCCATCTCTTCTGCCCCATGCCACGTGTGCCCTGCGTAAGTCTTCCCTGGGCCTCCATTTCTCCTTCTGCTGAGAGGTGGTGGTACTCCCTTCCCCCTCAAACCAGAGATGGCGGAGTTTCTGGCACTTAGTATCAGCTGGCAGCCATTACAGTTACGCGCCCATCTTACCCCACCACAGAGTGAAATGCTCATAGGAGCTGCTGTGTACCAAGTGTGTGGTCATCACACAAGGAGTGAGGAGGGAGGGAGGGAAGAAGGAAAGGAGAGATAGAAAGTCAGAGGGAAGGAAATGGAGTCTTTAACGGTTCTGTATTTCCTCACTCTTGAGTATTTGCTAACTTTATTCAGCTGGAAATAATTTTCTTTTGGAAATAATTTTTAAAAGGCAACAAAACTTATTGTACATTTTAAAAACTCTGCTTTTCTGTGTTACTCATGGAAAAGTGTTCAGAATCCAACGTGACCTCGGGAGGTTGTTTGTGAGATCCACAGTCATACTCAGACCTATGCCCTTCTGCCCCAGGTGAGCCTCCCACAGGCCCCTTCTCTTCCATCTCAACCCTCCCTTCTCTCACCCATCAAAAGGCTCCAGACTGGGCCTCCGCTACAGGAGGGCTTCACCTGTAAGTCATGAATCTTAAAAACAGAATTATTGGCATCAGGGCAAGAAGACGGGTAGGAGGGCACACAGGAGGTAGAGAAAAAGGTCCTTGTCTGCCACCCTCCTGTGGAGACTACTGGTTTTCCTTCTGTGGTTTTGAGTACTAAACACAGCTCTAAGCACGTATCTGGTATTAAATATCACCCTCCACGGCTGTTTACGGATCAAGAACTCAAGGTCATGGAAGGAAGGAAAGGTGACATTTGGACATGGGACAGAATACCTGCTTTCTCCCAGCATAAGAACCTCAAATAAAGCCAGAGGCCTGAGGCTTCCTGCTTCATACAAGTGTCTAAGCACACACATAAGGAAAGAAGGCAAAGCCCCAGTGTCTAGATAAATATGATGTCATGCTCTCGTAAATTTTCAATAGTAGAAAGAGATTGAGAAAAGGGATGTGGCAGGTCTCCTAACCGTTAAGAATCCTTCTAAAGGTATGAGGGAGCAGTGAGAGACTGGGAAGTCCTCGGATAACCAGGGACACCCACCCTAAGGGACAGCTGCTCCCTACCTCCACTCATGTGCTTTGTGAGAAGTTCACAGTCAATATCCCATCGGTGACCATACTCATACCAATGACCATACTCAACTGAGAAGGTGGCAAGGAGGGAAAGAGAAGACAGCCAGCGAGGGCAGGGACACTAAGCGGGGAGAAAAAAGAGATTCCTGCAGGGTCCCCACTTCAAGAAGACTGCCAAGAGGCAGGGGAGCTCCAGGAGGGCCAGGGGAAGCCCCCTGCCAAGCCAGAGACGTGAGAGAATGCAACCAAAGCATCGAAACAAATGCTATCCCCAGGAGGAGAGATTCTGGTTGACGTGAGATAGCCCTCCTGGCTCTGCGGAGCGTTTTCTTATTCATTATTTCAGGTCATCTTCACAATAATCTAGTAAAGTCTATAAAGGAAACCGTATTCTCATTTAATAGTTGAGGAAACAGACTGAGAGAAGGGCTTGGCTTCCTGGAACCACCCTGCCGGTGGTGGCAAAGCCCAACCCCAGTCTTCCAGCACAGACCCCAAGGTAGGAGGCAGGGTCTCCCCAGACTGGGAAAATGGATGAACTCATTGAAAGGTTCAAATTCGTGGACACAGTGAGAAGAAACGGGTCTAATAATAGGATGAAACATCCCTATGCCAGTACGTTTCAGGGTAAGAGAAAACGGGGTGGAGAGAACAGCATATACCATGGCCCCCTAGTAAAGACAGAGCCCCAGATACAAACTATGTTCAAAGAGTCCGCGACACCGTCTGTCAAGTTGGGGAAAAGGTCATCTCAAACGACTGTGGTTCAGGAGCTGAACGGCCAGTCAGGAGCTAGTGAGCGACATCCTAGGGCCAAAGCAGGACCCCAGGAGGACAGGCCTCTGGAGGAGAATCACTGGAGATGAGGCACATCAAAGACTGGGCAAAGGCTCAGGCACAGGGCAGATGGCGAATACTCTGCAGCAGCTAGCAGTGCAGGCTGCAGTAGACTAGTGCTAGTACCCACAGAAAGCCAAGTCCTTCCTCAAAGCCGGTCTGCAAGCTGTGGCCAAAGCAAGACTCCATTTACTGTGTTCTCAATGCCGTGTTCTCAAATGCTTAATGACAGGGCGGACTCTGTCCTCCACCTCTTTTACAGACGCTATCTTCAACAGCTGCCATGCTCTGCTCTATTAAAGGGTAGCCCACACATTCCAGAGAGGTGGCTGGAGGAGAGGACTAAGCCATGGGGTGCTGGGAGGGCCCAGCCAGGTCCTTTGGCCTAAAGAGCTTCCTCTCTCCCACTGGCCCTACCCCAGCCCTCCCTAGTATAAAGCCAGCAGAAGTCCACAGGACAGTCACCGGCCCATCTGCCACCTCCCACAGGCTGTCCTGCCTTCCTTTAGTCATCATACCCATCCAGCCCCCAGACCCCCAAGCCTGACAAACTGGCTTTCAAACAGGCAGCAATGGTAAGAAACTGCGGAGGGAACAGTCCTCAACGGCTCTGTTCTCCACCCTCAGCTCCCACACACTTAGGCCTCTCTACTCCCTGCTGGTCTTTCCTTCCCTCTTTCCTAGGATTGCTAGAATGATTTGTTCTGAACAGCGACAGGTTTATAGGTTAGCCGACACCTCCGCTCTGTGGAATTTTAATTAACTTCTCTCATCGTCAATATGCTAAGGAACGGGGTCTCCATTCTCTGGGGTCAGCAGTGTGTTTCAGGTCCTGCTATATCAGCCGTCAAATTGAAGAATTAATGACGTGGCTAATCGGCTCTAATTCTTTAGAAAGAAAAAAATTTGAAAGGGAGGTGTAGACGGGGGCAGGAGGAGGGTGCAGGCTCCACAGAGTAAGGAGAAGAAGGCTGAAGAGGGCTGAGCAAGGTGGGGAATCAACTCTCTCGTGAAACAAGTGACTGACCTAAACCCAGGGCAGGAGGGTGGCAGTCCCCCCCCCCCCGCTTTCCCACTGCTCACTTAAATGGGGAGTGAGGGACAAAGGAAGTGGGGGGAAGACCCTAGAAAAACAAACAGTCTGACAGAACAGGTGCAGGAGAGAGACTCCACCTTGGTTCAAGAAAGCCTGGAAAGCAGAAGTCAGGGTGCAAAGCTCACTCACTTATAGGTAAAGCCATAGAAATACAGACAGGCCAAAGGGGAAGGTAAAGCTACCATCAAAACTTTGGCACGTCTGCTACAATGATCAATCTACCCCGAATACGTGTCTGCATGAGGGCCCAACGGGACATGGGCCCCATGCCTCTCCTGATAACTCAGCTCTGTAAGTGACACTCCGGAAGACATTTTCCAAGGGGACCAACCACAGATGTGGGTTGGGAGAGCAGTTTGGCCAATGTGGTAGCTTCCCAGGGACACAAACAGGCCTCTGCTTTGGAAGCAACCCCAGAGAGCCTATGCCCCAGGAGGGGCACACTTGTAGAAGCTGGAGTCAGTTACATTTTAACAGCATTTCTTCCTTCACTGTTTCTGGGGTGGAGGCCCAGGAAGTTAGCCCCTGGGATGCCATCTCCATGCCATGCGTATATGGTATGAGCCACAGACCTTAGGTCTCTGGAGGATTTTCAAAATCTCCAGGAGAGAGGCTCAAAGCAACCTGGAATATACAGGTAGAAGAGTTTTCTAGCCCGCCCAGCCTCGTAAAATAAAAGCATTATTATACAGGACAAAACCATATACAAAAAACGTCTCCCTTACCTGAGTAATGGGCTGATAGCAATGGACCAGACTCGGTCTTCGGTCTGGATGGTATGTAAGCACTGCCCCAGCCGGCCTGAGGCCAAAGGCCATACCTGGAAACAGGAGAAGAGATGGTCTCATCAGCACTGACTGGGACTGGGATGTGGGATGAGCGTCCCTAGGGCGGTAGGGAAGTGGAGAATTCTCTCTGTCCTGCAGACACGAAGCTCAGCGTATGAGCCGAGGGGCCTCCCCAGCCTCTGACTCGCCTACCTGACGCCCAGTCCGAACCGCCCTCCTTAACATCCACTTGAGAGCCCTCCCTCACCACCCAGTTTTACGGCAGGGAATCAGGAACTCCACACTGCAGCTGAGATGCGGTGAAGCCGGGTGAGCAGGTGTGGCTTGCCTCTCTCAACAACCTCCTCATGCTGGTGGGCTTCCCTTCTTCCTAGCTCTCGCCCAGATTTTCCTTTGGGAGGTAGGGAGGAGGGTGATCAAGGCACGGTATGGGGGAACAAAGACAGAATTACAGCAGAATTAAGAGAGGAGTAGAAAGGAAGGCACAAGAGAAGGAAGGAACAGAGGAAGAAGAGAGGCTTCAAAAGCACGAAGGTGGTGTGCTATTGCTCGTTTGTTGATAATGCCCAGGATCCAGTGCTATTCCTGTCAGCAGGGAATTTAGCACCTAGTGTCACCAAAAGTAGCAGAAAAGCTTAACTCTTTTAAGCTTCCATATCTCCTACAGGTTAAAAATATTGCTTGGAGCACGTTATCTGGTCCCTATCAGTCAGGAATGTACATTAGCAGCCACTCCGGGCTTAACTCTAATCAACACTCAGGGAGCCCTCTCAGCAGCCAGTGCATTTAGAAATCTCCCATTAAGCACAAGGCCCCCCTCACCTCACCCAACCCTAGATGACACAGTCAGGGAAGTAAGCCTCTAACCAAACAGAAAGGAAGCCTCAGATGTACAGGGCTGTCCCAGACAGCAGCCAAGGAGGGAGCCTGAGGCAGCCAGATGGATCACTGACCTCTCAAGGTCCCTGCCGTGCTATAAGGGGAACACACAAAAGCCGGTCAGGACCTTAGATGGAAGAACTTTCAGGAAACATTCCTTGAGTTTAAGGGGCAGGTGATGGAGTGGGGGTGGTCTTGCCTTCTTAGGGTCACATGACATGTCTTCCCATAAAAGGAGAAAGTGTTTCCGATTTTGTGCTTGATATATATGCAGGTACACATGAGTTACTTCCAACACAGGGAAAAGAAGATACACTTAACAAGAAGATCTTGAACAAGGAGGGGCAGAAATCAAAAGCGAATAGCACGACTTCCCTCGAGGGCTATGACTGTGGCTTACTCTTCTGGATCTACAGTCAGGCCTCTTTGGTAGTAACTAGATGCATTTCTACTTCTTTCTTTCAGAGAGTCCCAGTCTGAAAGAGAGGTTTGCCTTTTCTCAGATGCAAACTCCCTGGAGGCAGGTTGGAAGGTGAGGAGACACAAAGGACTCTGCTCACAAAATCTATTGGGACGACTCCAGTCCTGGACTCACCAGTGTCCCCCCTGGGACGGGCTGCTGGATTCCAACACTGTACAAACCGCAGAACAAGGTTCCTGGCCTCCGGGAGTGGCTCAGGAGCCTACTGCCAATTCTGAGTCTGATACTGGGAAAGTGGCCCTCCTGGTTTGCCGCAGTGGCACACCATCCCCCACAAACCCGAGTGTCAGGATGCCTGAGGGACAGGAGTTGACAACAATATGATGATCACGCTTTCACCCTCAGTGGTCAAATCCAAAACAAACCCATCCCTGGAAAAGATATATCTCAGTGGGGGTGGACATTTATGTTGTCCTTTTAGTTTTTTTAATTTTTTAAATGTTTTTATTTATTTTTGAGAGAGAGACAGAGAGGGGGAGGGGCAGAGAGAGAGAGGGAGACACAGAATCCGCAGCAGGCTCCAGGCTCTGAGCTATCAGCACAGAGCCCGATGCGGGGCTTGAACTCTCAGATCGTGAGATCATGACCTGAGCCGAAGTTGGACACTCAATCAACTGAGCCACCCAGGCTCCCCTTACATTGACCTTTTAAAAAGCAGTTGACAATATATATCAGGACCCTTAAAATGACCAAAGCCTCACACTCAGCAATTCTATGGCTGAGATTCTATCCTAAGAAAATAATTCTAAAACAAAGAAAAACCTGTGTGGTAAAAATATTCCCTGCAGCCTAGCCTAGGGTTGCAGAAAGAGCACATATGGGCCTTGGAATCAGACACATTTGGGTTTGAACCCAGTTGTTACTTATCAACTCTGATCTTAGGGATAGCTCAGGACTTCTCAGCCTCAGTTTCCTCATGTACAGAATGAGAAATAGTACCTATCTCTTGAGGGCTACAGAACTGTCAGGATATGTATAGAGCATCTAACACAGTAGTTGCACAGCATTTGGCAGGTATTAGGCATTCAGTAATGGTGGCTCTTATTACTAATTAGGCTATTAAAGGTGACAAATAATTTGTAATAACAGAAAACTTTACAAGATAAAGTAGATACAGTAGGGTATATTGGCTATCCACAATAGATTATAAGCATAATTATGTAAGGATAAAATTATCCTAAAGGATAAAAGGGAAAAACGAACAAATGTAAAGTGCTTAGCATCATGCCTGGTTACACTGTATAGAGTTACAAAACAAACAAGCAAACCTATGCATTGAAAAATAACTAAAAGAAAAAAACCCAAGTTCAAATGTTCCCTCCTTCATAAAGTCTCCCCTTTCAAGCCAGATGTGATCTCTCCACCCCTGAACCTTCTGGCCCTAGAGGCTTACACTTCACAGTCCTGGCCACTTCCGATCAGCTTCATAGCCACTGCACGCACGTCTCAGCTCCCCTTAAAAAGACAGGCAGTCTCTTCCCTACCTTTGAAAAGCCCCAGTGCCTTGTACACTAAGCCTTTCATACAGCTGGTACGTAAAAGAATGAATGAAAGAACAGAGAAATAAAGGAGGCCACGAAGGAATGGTCAGAACCAGCCCAGACCCACTAGGAAATTCCTATATTGCTGTCACACCTCAGGATGGGGCTGGCCTCACGGAAGCTTAGAGGGACAATCCAAACGGAGTCTCGATAAGTTTGAAAGTAGGGTTGGGAGGGATGGAAAGGGGCGGGGAGAGGAAGAAGGCTCCCTGAGCAATCCCTAACTCAGAACTCAGAAATCCTACAAAGAAAATGGTTTAGTTCCTTTCACCCCAATAAAACAAATCCCTTTCCTAAAACACAGTAGCTATTGGGGGGGAACTCCCAACAAACAGGCAAATGTGACTAAGGTCTTGTGTAGGTTTGGGGATATTAGAAAAGCTACAGAACCGCAGAAGTCTCCGGAAAGCAGTGGAAACGTGGTTATAAAAGACTGGCTTGAATAGTGTGTAAATGGGTCAGGAAGATGATGGCAACTAGAGGCAAAGACAACAACAGAGTGGGAACAGAAGCAGCACCCAGAAATCTGCAAAGATGAGCTGGCCTGGGAGTCACTGGAGACCCCCAAGACAGCTGACCAGCTTTCTGGAGGTGAAGAACCAGCAGGGGAGAATTCTGTCACTGTCTTAAAAGAAATCCTCAAAGGATATGCAGCAGTGACAATTTTAGAATCTAGAAAGTAGATTCTATTTTAATGCTTAAAAAAAGTCAGATTCACTAAATGGGGTTGAGTGAGTACCTAAAACATGAAATGAACCCAATATCCCACATAAAGATGCTGCCCTCGGACTAGAATAGCAGCCCATCCCCCTGAACTGCTACCTGTGGTCATAAAGCTTAGTTTATGCTGCTCTGGGTATCAGACCACAGAGAACAGACTAGAAGAGAGAGGTGTCACTGAAAAGGAGGAGTCAGGGGAAGCTTGAAGCCATGACAGGAAGATGCCAGAAGGAGATGGAAATATTTAGGCCACATGTGCCACAAAGATTTTCATGCACAGTGATTTCTGAGGAGTACAGCAAGTTAAGGCCAGTCTCTATTCAAGGAATGGTAAAACGACAGCGACCAGTCAGAACCTGAAGTCAGGATAGGGTGGGCAGAATGGGAAACAGGCAACAGCAACTTCAGTTTCCAAGCTGGTTCAAAAGGTCTTCTGGACTTTTCTCAGGCTTCCTGTGCTGGTGGGCATGTCTCTCTGACAGAATACAAAGTGTAAGGAAGAACATAGCGAAGGGAGTAGAAACTTCCATAACTAGGAACATACATAGCCCTTCTATATAAATTGGTGGCATGTTTATAGGAAGGAGTCATCACCAGAGGGTACGTGGATTAGAAAAGCTAGTGAGTAAACGGTGCCACTGCTCTCTCCTGAGACCCCCCCCAGGTGTGTTAGAGGCCCATTTGCTGACACGAACAGGCATTTTGCTCCTGTTGGCACTACGGTCTCCAGATGCTGGGAGGAAACAGGTGAGTAAGATGCTACCAGGCCTCCTGCACCTCAACTGAATTGTCAGCAAAGTTCCCGCAGCCGCCCCAAAGGACCAGGTGCACGCGGGCCCTGCCTGGGGCTGCTGGAAACAAGGGCTGGAGACAGAAGTTCTTCTCCATCTCATGGGTGGAGGCCTGTCTGACCCAAACGTGGGTGAGTGGAGCCCATAAAGCAGGGGTCACACTACTTCTCAGCCTCCTTCTGTTTTGCCTTGGCAGACATCTGACCGTAGACCAGGCGATTTGGCAATGACGCCCCAGAAATGCCTTTCTCTCCTCATCTTTCTACTGCTTGCTGACCACATCACTCTCCAGAGAAGCAGTAAAAACACATTTTAATTATCAGCCCGATTGCTTATAAACAAGGTGGTGAAAAATTAACCTCCCTAAACAGAGAGCAAGCAAAAGGAGGGAGATTTTAAAATAAAATATTGGGGTCAGAACTCAACCCGCAAACTTGAGGAAATTCAGCTCAGGGAGGAAAAGCTGGCCAGGCCCTCTGTTTTGAGTTCACGCCACATTTCAAGTGAGTGGCAAGCTTCCCAGCCACTGTCCACTCCTTTCTCAGGCCAGCTGGCAGGGACGTAGCCTGGCATGGCCAACCGCATGCCAGAGGCACATAAGTGAGTCCTTTATCGTGTTGTCCCCCCGCTGCCCCCACCCAATGCCCTCAGCCAATCCCAAGACTCAAGGCCCTATCCACCCTCTCCCACCCCACTCCCTATAGACAGGAGGGAATGACAGCACCTAAGGGGGAGACCACTCACCTTGGCCGTCCTGTCCCTGGAGCCGCTCACAATGATGCCCCCTCTGCAGTCCACACAGTTCACCTCCTGTTCATGAGCCGAGTACTTGACAGTGAAGGTGCTATGAATCTTATGAACGCCAATCTTCCCGTCTCTAGGAGAGAAATGAGGATCCCACCCCCAACAGCCAATTATTCTATCCGTCGGAAGAGAACAAGGCTACGGAAGCAGGCTGAGGCTCCAGTGATGTCCAAATCTGCTAAGTTTTAAGCAATTCAGCTCAATAAGGTGCTGAGCTTCGAGATAACTTTACTTCTTCAGTACACCTGGGGCTGAACCGAGCTGAGAGACAAAACAAATTTTACCCTCGAGAGTATCAAAACCAGCTTCACTTTTCATCAAAGGCTCTTCCTGTTTTCCTTCTCCAGCTAACCCTATTAAGCGCCTTCGGTAAATCTCCATGCTTCAAATGGGAAAAAAAAAAACCAAAAAACAAAAAACCACTCCCTCTTCTTATGGTTTCCCTCCTCATCCCTTTGGAGTGGAGACAGAAAAGTCAGAGGCAGGCAAGCAGAAGTTCCCTGAAGAATGCTACGGAGGAGAAGCCCGAGGCACTTACCCTCCCGCACTGATAATATGTGAGTTGGCCAGCACAAAGTGGCAAACGTCCTCATCGTGCCCAGCAAAGACTCCCAGGGGCCGACGGTTCAAGCTGGCACCATCTGGGCGGAACTGATAGGCCAGGATGAAATTAGCCTGGGATATGTACAGAGAATCACCTTCTAGCTGCATCCAGGGCATCTGACTGCAGAGATACAGAACACAATTTAAAGATCATCACGATACAGCATGAAAAGTTGACTCCAATCTTTAGAGAGGCTGACCGATCCCCAACGTAGCAAGAATAACCTGCACTTTACCGCCCTCCTCTCCTTCAAAAGGACCTTCCCTCAGGCTTCCTACCCTCAGACAACTAGGGAGATGGAGCTTTGTGGTAACCTAATCTTCTCTGGACTTTCTAAAAGTGAGTCAGAATTTAAAAGACCAATTAAATATCACTTTTTAATGGGAGAATGCTTAAGACCTGAATTACTGGCAACTTAGATTTCTTTTGGGTAGGCAGAGTTCAGCGACTATAATGACTGGGACATGAGCAGGGTCAAAAAGAAACCTCCCACCCTGAGGGAGTGATTTTCTTTCATTCTGCATCCTCACTGATTTCAAGTGATAAGTGATGAGTGCCAAGGTTCTAAGATTCCCATACATACCTCTTTCCCAACAGAGCAGATGGAGAAAAGAGAAGAGTGAGCCCCGAGAAGCCCCATTCCCTTATCCCACTAGAGCAAAGGGGTCCTTTTATAAGTGAAAGGAATACAGCCATTTGGGAAAGGATGCTAATGTACTGGTTAGATACCTGGCTCCTCCCAGGACATATCTACATTTCACTGTGAGAGGGTAAGTGGGGCAATGGAAAACAGCTCTGCGGCAGTCCACTACAGTTTGGGGGCTATGGAGAAATAGCTCTCCCAGGGAGCCAATAAGAGAAATCCACAAGTAGTTAAAGATTCCCTCTGCAGTCCAGCAAGAAGAAAGGTTAGAAGCCACAGGCCAGTCCCATGGCACAGTGAGCCTTAAGAAGAAAGACGACTCTGCCAGATCCGAGGCTCTCTGGTGGGGACTAAGCTCCTTCCCCAAGGCAGACATCTAAGCCCCTTCCCCAAGGCGGACATCCCAGCGGCCTGTCCTACTCTATGTAGGAGTTCTGGAGCCACCAGGTCCCAAGCAAGGCATAGGGACGGCTGATTCATCCCCATTTACACAGACACCATCTCCCACTGCCAAGCCTGTCTGAGCAAACTGGGCTGTGTTTCTTCCCCAGACTCCTTAATACAAGCGTCATGGGAATGTGGAAAAGTTCTGCAAATTGACTTGACGGGCCATTAAATGCAGCTTGGACTTTGTAGTAGCTGAGTTTCTGCTCAGGAGGTTTTTACAAGTGTGTGCATACATTATATAGAACATGTGTAGAGTAGGTGGTGAGGCCTACGTTCTCACTCACTATGCACTTCTCTCTTCATCATCCCCTCGCACAAATTTGCAGCACACTCAAGTGGGGAGCAAGCAGAAGGGGTTGGAATGCGTGTGTTTAGAGCCATCTGGTAAGCAGCCATTTGCCGAGGACAAGAAACCAGGTTCATGCCAGGTGAACGATGGAGAATCCCGGGGCAGCCTGGTAACTGCTTTGTGTGTCTATTTGCCAAACTGCTTTGAAACCAGCCCAAAAAAAGACATCAGGGACAAAACCTTGATAGAGAAACAAACTCTACTTTTTGGTATTAAAAGGCAAAAGCAGGAAGCAGAGGGTACAGTTTTTCATCTCAAAAGCCCATCTTTCTCCCTAGTAGTTTCTCTACAATCACCACCACCACCACCACCACCAGTACTCCCCACATAATTCACAGCAACCATCAGCCACGAAAGCAGCAGAATGGACACAAGTAAGAGAGAAGGGGGTCATCAAAGAAAGAAGCCTGTCTGTATCTCTCAGCACAAGCACGGGTCAACCTGGAATGAGGAACCATGATGCTCCTTAACCATCCCGACCAATCAACGAGGAGCACTTGCTTGGCAAGGAGTCAGATGATAACTATGAAATAAAGTAACATAAGATGTGTGGCATTAGCAGTCCAAAGCCACTAAGTTTCCTAGCAGTTCTGAGCTCTACCTCCTGTAACATCTACAGCCAAGCCTTTAGATCCCATTTCGCCTTCTTAATAAAGTAGGGGAGCGAGCTAACAGACACCAGGAGTGAGGCATAACTCCGTAGAGTAGACGTAAAAAAAATAATTATAAAACAAGACAGCTTGAAATACTGACTTCATTTATTTCTTTTGATGAGGTACGTTGACAGGGGTGACGTCTGAGTGGTAGCATTATATGTAAGTTTTATTTTCTTCTTTAAACGTTTCTATTTTTTCAAATCTCTACAATAAGCACTTGTTATTTTTATAATCATAAACATGTGGAATTTGCTTAAATAAAGCACTTTTTGGGGAATTTTTACCAATGTAAAAGCAAAAATTGTCCTTCTTATGCCCCCTTTGTGATGTTTAAAGGATCACCAGTGCCACACCACCCAAGACAGGCACAGTTACACTCTAGCGAAGACCAAATATTTTACTTCCCAGCTTGCTTTTCTGTGCCAGGTAGCTTTTAAAGAGTCCAGCGGTGCCTGGGTGTCTCAGTCGGTTGAGCATCAGACTTTTGCTCAGGTCATGATCTCACTGTTCGTGAGTTCAAGCCCTGCATCGGGCTCTCTGCTCTCAGTGCAGAGCCCACTTCGGGTCCTCTGTCACCTTTGCTCTCTGCCCTTCCCCCACTCACGTTGTGTCTCTTAAACATGAATAAACATTAAAAAAAAAAAAAAGTCAAGAGGCTACTTACCTGCATCTCCACTTCAGCAGAATCCCCTCTCGGCAGCGCCCCAACCTCCAGTTCTGCGACACCTTCACTCGTTCCTTCACTGAGACACTGGCCATCCTGTGTCCAGACAGAACACATAATCCGGTCACTGCAACTCAATGCCAACCAGAGAAAATTCCATAGGCTTATGACGTAGAACTCGGGAGTATCTGGAATATATCTAGATATAAGTGACGGGGTTAGGGCATGAGAAAGGAATAACTTTTCTCTCTCCACACTGTGATAACCAAGAAAGCCAAGGAGAACAGCCTGTCCTTTGCAGTGTCTATCGCGATGCCAAAGCCATCTAACGGAGAAAGGATAAGAGAGTGCTGGAACTACTGGCTATCCATAAGGAAAAAAATCAACTCTGACTCCTACCTCACACCATGTAGAAAAATTAATTCAAAACAGATTTAAACATGTAATCTAAAACTATAAAGCTGACAGAAGAAAATATATCAAAATATTTCTGCAACTTGGGGCCTGGGCAAAGATCTCTTAAGACACAAAAAGCAAGAAAAGTCTAACGAATGAGACTTTATCAAAATTTAAAATTTTTGTTTACCAAAATGAATATACATACCACATTCTGGAGGAAAATGTTCACAAAATATATATTTGACAAAAGGCTTATATCCAGAAAATACTAAGAAATTATACATATGTATAACTGTATACATATGTATATGTATATATTACATACACATTTTTATATGTATATATAATTACATCTATATATACACACACAATTATATATTTATGTATATGCATATATATTTTTTGAAGGCCAGTAAGGAACTCTCCTACAATCTTGGTGGGAAAGCAAAATGGTACAGCCATTATGGGAAAAATGTCTGGCAGTTTATTATAAATCCAAACATATACCTACTCTATGACCTAGCAAATACCCAAGAGAAAGCATACGCCCACAAAAAGACCTGCACAAGAATGTTCATAGGAACTTCAGTCCTAAGACCCAAAAGTTGAAAACAGCCCAGGCAGCCATCAGAAGAATGGGCAAACACCCCATGATGTATATTCATACAATGGAACGCTACTCAGCAATGAAAAGGAAATAACTATTGATATACACAGTAATGTGAATGAATCTCAAAAACATTATATTGAATGAAAGCAACATTACACAAAAGAGTTCATGATGTAGGATTCCATTTACGTGAAGTTTGAGAAGGATAACTCATCTACGGTGGAAGAATCAAAACAGTGATTACCACTGGGAATCCTACCATTGGGAAGGGGATTGACTGGGAAGGCACATGTAGAAACTTTCTGCAGTAACATTCTGTATCTAATCTTCAAGGAATTTGGGTTACACAGTTGTGTATGCATTTGTCAAAAATGCATCGAATGAAAGAAAATGCACTGAATGATACACTTAAGATTAAGACTTGAGCATTTGGCTGTATATAATTATTTTTAAGTTTATTTATTTATTTTGAGCGAGAGAGCGTGAACGGGGAGGGGCAGAGAGAGAGGAAGAGAGACAATCCAAGCAGGCTCCATACTGTCACACAGAGCCTGATGTGGGACTTGAACTCATGAACCATGAGATCATGATCTGACCTGACATCAGACACTTAACCGACTGAACCCCCAAGAGCCCCTGTATATAAACCCATAAACTAATATATATATGAGTCAGTTTATGCATGCATGCTGAAGTATTTACAGGCGAAGTGTACTGATATCGGCAACTCCCTTTGAAATGCTGATAAAGCAAATACAGCAAAATGTTAACTGTAGAATCTAGCTCATGGGTATATGAGTATTCGTGGTATAATTCAACTTTGCTATTTTAAATTTTTCATTTAAGAAAATGTTGGGGGTGTCAATAGTACTTTCTGGGTGAGTAAAGTTAGAGCAGTAAGAGATAAGGGAGCCCAACAGCAGTAGGAATGGTGTAGTCTGTGACTGGGTTGAAGTGGTAGAAGATAGGGAGAAGAGCTCAAAGCCACTCTGAAAGTACATCTTTGGACAGAATTTTGAAATTGTGGGCAAGAATTTGAAATTTTAATTTTAGGGGCAGCCGAGTAGCTCAGTTGGTTAAGCATCCAACTCTTGATTTCGGTTCAGGTCATGATCTCATGGTTTCTGGGATCAAGCCCCATGTGGGGCTCTATGCTGATAGCACAGAGCCTGCTTGGGACTGACTCTCTCTCTCTCTCTCTCTCTCCCCCTCCATTTTTCTGCCCCTCCCTCACTCTCCCTCTAAACAAACAAACATTTTTTAAAAAAGAAAATTTCATTTTAGGCCCCTACAGCTTCCCTGTGTTTCCTTGGCCTGCTTGACTGGACAATACAATGTACACTGCTTGGGACACAGAGAGGTAACTACCAGGCCTACTGAGAAGAGAGAGACATGCATTTCTTCCAGTCTCTGCTATGCCTTCACATTGACTACCCTTTACTAACAGGCAGCCATCAAGTCCTGCTTGCAAGATTACAACAGATACAGATTAAAAAGGATGGTTTTGGTAGGCAGAAAGAGAAGATACCTAATCCATTCCTAGATAAGTAATACTCTATCTCCTGATCTCATCTCATTTGTTTATTTGTATAGACTAATTGTTTTTGATTAACAAAATGATACATCCACAGGGTAAAAAAAAAAAAAAAAAAAACGCCGAATATGAAAAGTTAACAAAAGTGACTAACAAAAGTTAGCAAAAGTGACTCTCTCTCTAGAGAGAGAGACTGAAAGATACTGTAGATGCGTATATATTGATGTGTATTTATATATATACCCAGTTTTTAATTTAAAAAAATAGTATATTATTTTGCTCATTGCTTTCATCACTTAATATATCTTAGGAAGCATTCCATATCAATACACTGAGATCCAGCTCATTCTCTTTAACAGCTGCATAGAATTCTATTGTGAAACCTAATCATCATTTCATCAGTCTCTTACTGACTCACATTTAAAGGGCTACCAGACTGTAGTTATTATAAATACTGCTGTAATAAATATCCTTAGATCTCTATTTAGGTGTGAGAATCTATCCGGAGAAAAAAGAATATTAGAAATGGTACTGAATGGGCCAAAGGAAATTATAGATTTTTAATTTTGATAGATACTGCCAAATTGTCATCCAAAAGAGGTTATACCAACTTATACTTCTAATACCATATTCAGGTGTTTATTTCTGAATATCTTTTATTTTCTTTTTTAAAAAAATCTATAATTTATTTTAGAATAGTTTTACATTTCCCAAAAATTTGCAAAGATTGTACAGAATTCTCACATACCTTTCACTTGTGACACTTGTCTTCCCCTAGTATTAACATCTTATATAACCATGGTCTATTTGTCAAAGCTTAAGAAATTAACATTGGTGCATTATTCTTTAACTAAACTCCCAGATTTTATTCAGAGTTCACCAATTTCTCCACTAATATCTTTCTGTCCCAGGTGCCCATCTAGCTCACCACACTGTACTTAGCTGTCATGTCTCTTTAGTCTCCTCTGGTCTATAGCAGTTTCTTAGTCTTTCCTTATTTTTCAGATCATGACACTTTTTAAATTTTCATTTCATCTTTGCCAGTCTAAGAAGTTAAAAAAAAAAAAAAAAGCTTCCTCCCCATTGTTTAAATACGTATAGTATTTTTTCTAATTACAGGTAACACTGAACATCTACTTATATGTTTGAAAGCCACTGTCATTTTTTCTGGGAAATGTTTGTTCATGTCCTTTTTCCTCCTTCTATTAGGTCTGTGGTCTTTTTCTTATGAGTGTGTAAAGGCTCTTAACATAGTCTATATTGCCAGTTTATTCCAATTTATTATTTTATTTATAGCATTTTATCCATGCAGATATTTAAAAAAATTTTACATATCCATGATTTCATGTCAATCTTTTGAAATACTTTAAAGAGAATGAATGTTCAGGAAGGGGCTTCCTGTTATAATTTTCTGGCTCAAAGAAGGTCAACCCATTTATTTATTTTTGAGAGAGCGAGCATGAGCAGGGGAGGGGCAGAGAGAGGGACAGATACAGAGAATCCCAAGCAGGCTCCACACTGCCAGCGTAGAATCCAACATGGGCCTCGAACCGACGAACTATGAGACCATGACCTGAGCCCAAACCAAGAGTCAGGATGCCCAACCCAGTAAGCCACCCAGGTGCCCCAGTGTTCTTATTGCAAATCCTACTATGGAAAATCTTTCAACATAGTAAGTACAGTTAGTTAACCCCATTGAACACTATTTTAAAAAATGATTTGGAATGTTTCAATCCCTCTGGATCATAATTCCAAAGATCATTTATTTAACAAACATTTAATGTGGTGTTTACAATGTGCCAGGAACTGTTTTCATTTACCTAACGCCTTATGCATAGTAAGTATCAATAAGTGTTTGTTGATAGAGCAATTGTACTTCCTGTATTCTGTCCAATTAGAAGACATTGGAAATAAGCAATAAGTAAACTGGCTGATATTTCAATTTAAATACAGAAAGCCAGAAATGACCCAAACTGATATAAACCAGTATATGACAAAGTAAAATGTTAAATCTCTACTTCACTAGTGCTGTTGGGTTTGCATAGCATGTTCCCAACCTTATAAGAAGGAAGGGAAGAAGAATACACATGCCTAGAAAGAACATGGGAAGTATATACCCTAAAATAGTTAACTGTGGGTAGCCAACTTTGAGTGTTTTTATTTTCTTTGTGATTTTATGTATTTTCCAAGTTTTCCACAACGTAATATTTTGGTGAAGAGGAAAATACCCATTAAAATAATAATGTTGGTGATAAAACTGGATCTCAATGGATAAAAAAACTCATGTAGATTACAACTCATAACCTAATATAATAAATCCCTACAAAATGAAAGTGAATTTAAAATAGTTTTTTGGGGCACCTGGATGGCTCAGTCAGTTAAGTTTCCAACTTCAGCTCGGATCATGATCTAACCATTCATGGGTTCAAGCCCCAGGTCAGGTGCTGTGCTAACAGCTCAGAGCCTGGAGCCTGCTTGGGATTTTCTTTCTCCCTCTCTCACTGCCCCTTCCTCGCTCGCATTCTCTCTCTCTCTCTCCCCTACCCTCCCTCC